TCATGTTGATATATATGAACATTCCTTGTATTAATCATCTGTTGATGTTGATCACAAATGAAAAAAAAAAAATAATAATAAAAATTGTAGTTAATGGTAAGAATATTTTGTAAATCAAAACTACGTAATGATGAACCATTTCAATTACACTAATGCATCAATACTGGATTCTGTACATGTGACATCCTATTGGAGTGCAACTCATAACTTCAACGGATGGAACTTTATAATCAATATATCGATGTCATGTATCACACAACACGCAATTAAATATGTAGATTTATTATTGAGCACTGTATCCTTCTCATTAATATTTTGATTCATTTGTTTTATTTTCATGTTTTGGGGAGGAAACTACTGTAACTTGTACATATGTCGTTTTTAGTTGTTTCCTGTTTGACTGTGTCTGAGGTGAAAACTGAAGCATTTTGTTGACATCTAATCAATTTGTTATAATAAAACAATGTAAAGTAAGCAAAAAATGTGATTTCAAAAATACAGGTATTCCTCCTTGAAAAATTAAATGAACCATTTTCATCTTGCTTGTGTATTGTGTTTAGGCTTATTCCCGAGTCACCGAGATGGTTGATCAGTCAGGGTAAAATCGATGAGGCCAACAATATTATCAAGAAGGCAGCTAAAGTCAACAAGGTGACAATCCCAGAGAATATCCTGACAGCCGACTCTATTGACGAAGCGGAAGCTGGTCGTCTCTGGCACCTGTTTACGTCACGTGTCCTCCTCATCAGGACACTCATAATATTCTTCAATTGGTAATTGTTTTGTTCGTATTGAATTTCCTATGATTTTTATATTTGTTTAAGCAGGTACTTAGTTCCAGTATATTAAATAGTATCACTGTAGCAAATTTGGCAGGATAAAAGTATAGACATTTTTAATTGTTTGTATTACTAAGATGATTATCAATGATCAACTTGAAATCGATGGATAACAAAGTTTACTTTTCATACTTATTGTGATCTGTTCAAGGGGTGTAGTGAGCATGGTTTACTATGGACTGTCTTTAAATACCGGAAATCTCGGAGGTGACTTCTACGTGAACTTCCTGTTGTCCGGTCTGGTCGAGTTTCCCGCCTATACGCTATGCCTTTTGCTCCTTGACCGGGTTGGTAGACGACTTTTACATGCTTCCTGCATGATTGTTGGTGGTGTGGCGTGTATTATTACCCTTTTCCCTATGATATTCGCCGATCAAAGTAAGTTATTAGTTTTCTTTGTTCATGGTTATTTTGAGGGAAAGTGCAATGCACAACTCAAAGAATGTTTATCAAGGCAAGCAGATGCAATTCCTGGCGTTCGTCTTTGAAATGGTATTTTTATATGTAATTGTACACCAATTTATACATAGCTGATTCTGATAGTTTATTTATTTAAATGGTTAAGTCATTCAAGTGCTGTACTATGATTGGTTTTATATTGTTTAACATCCTGCACCTGTTTATTTATTTAAATGGTTAAGTCATTCAAGTGCTGTACTATGATTGGTTTTATATTGTTTAACATCCTGCACCTGTTTATTGGTAGCATTTACAAATGCCATTATAAGCAATAGTATCACGCAATCGAACCTTACAAATACACTGGTATTCATCATTACTGTAACAGAAGAATAAAATGTTATCATATAAGAGTTCCCAGAAAGATGTCAGTGGACTGTATCTTAGTGGCAAAAATGTCTTCATCATTTAAGGTCTCCAGCCAATAACGGTTACCCTGGCTATGTTGGGCAAGGTTGGAGTGTCTGCCGCCTTCGCAGTGATATATGTGTGGTCAGCTGAGTTATATCCTACAGTTGTCAGAAATGCTGGCATGGGCGCCAGCTCCTCGTGCGCTCGTGTAGGAGGCATGATTGCACCGTACATTGCCGACCTGGTATGTATTGAGATAAGATTATTCCTATCAAAAACGGTATCATGAAGTGCCGATTAACTATGATATCACCAATATATCACATCTTATAATATTGATTAAACTTACCGATAGTGGTATATTTCAGGTTTGTTTTTTTTTTTAGATATTAATAGGACGGCAAATAAACTGATGGTAACCGTATTGTAATCAAATTATCAATAAACTTTATTTCAGTAGCGTTGTGAATTGATAAATGTTCATACTGTTTACAATCAGTTCGATGATGGCTCCGTTTCCGTAAGAGCATCCCCGGCACACAAAATATTTGTATTTGACAATTTCATTGAAAAAAGCATCACTGAAATACACACAGAAAAATATGTTGATATTAGGAATAACATAGTACTAGTGTATTACATGAAATATCAGCGTTACAAAAGATGCATATAATATTATATTAATTTGAGAATATCACAAGTTCAGTGTATTAACGACTACTTTTGAAAACCTTTATAATCTGTGTATTACACCAATGCAGGGTTGTACGGGTTTTTTTCCCGCAAATATGTAATTCTAACAAGAGCATCTAATAAATGACCACTTTTTCGTAGAACAAGGTGATTGACGGTGACCTAGGACGTGCAGTACCTCTGGTCGTGTTCGGCACGATGTCGGTCGTTGCTGGGATTCTGTCACTTTGGTTACCAGAAACTAACAAAAAGGATCTTCCTGAAACTCTAGGTGATAGCAAAAGATTCGGTCAAAAAGAGTAAGTATTTAATATATCTAGCAAAATAAATTAAGTTACATAATCGATAAACAGTGCAGAAAAGAAAACAAAGAAGATTATTATAGAAAGGGAAGTTAATAGCAGTGGTGGAGACGGAAGTAAATAGTGGTAAAATATCTACATATTCCAGCTTGGGCAAGACAAATCAGGCGATATAATTTGCATTTTTCAATTGCTTGATATAGGTTTCATTGTAATGATGACAATAAAAAGTATGCACAATTGGCATGATTGTCTGGATGTAACTATCTTTGCAGGTTGTCAGAAAAATGCGGGCCAAGGCTTAGTTTTGACAACAAAGGTTTTGATTCCGAACAAGGCATCACTAACAGGATAACGGAAGACTACACAGACATAAAACTATGAAGAAATATCTGAACGTTTAACATCCAGTTGGGTTATTCAAATAATCTAGGAATTATATACAGAAATGTTAACTATCCAAATGTGTTTTATCCCTTCTCTTGAACTTAACATTTTATTTTGAGGCTGAATAGTAGCTACTGTTAGAGTTTATATGACTGTAGGCGTTGCTGAATTCCGTTTATTAAGATAGGATTAGTGCAGATACTGTTTCCCTTTGACCAACGAAACGTGATTTAGATAAAGTTAAACTTGAGGGGTAAAACACACATGAAAATTGAAAAATTAGAAGACAAACGTTATTGATTAAAATCCCTTTGTACATCTTGTTATTGTTATATTTAGCCATAGGAGAATATGACAAAACTACACCAATTTTCATTAGATACATGTAATTGGGGCTTTCAGTGCTCAGACATGCATACGTTGGAGAGAAATGGCCAGGTTGACATCGTCTTGACTTGAAAAATAAATCAATCCTAAAAGCATTGAAAAGACATAAATCTGACTTGTACTGTATTATAATTCACATATAAGCGATTTCTGTCGAAGCATCATGGGATATATAGAAATACTGATAAGTGATCAGCAATTTCATGTGTGACTTTGAGCGGCTAGCTATAACTAACCCAGTAAGTAGAGTGGCAACACATTATCTGATATAAAAAATGCCCAAAAAGGCAAAAGTTTGATAAAAAAGGAAATTATTATCACCAGTTAAATCTATATAAGTATTAGTAGACCCAACAACAGCATTCATTGCAGACAATAGTACAATATCATATTACTTTAAGGAGCTGTAGACCTCACAAGAAACAAAGACAGACAGACGGACGCCCGTTGGAGGGACGCTGATGTTGCTCCATAATATGTCCGTCGAAATTCGACTGTACAAATCACCAATGAAAAAAATTAAATGAAATGACAAAACTACATTCTCTATTCACACTTCTTGCAAAAAAACCCCTACAAAATTATGCAAATATATAATAGCATACAGCACAACAATTATGTCCTGGTGTGTTTGCGTACCAGTCTGAACACCGCGTTGGACTGCCCGTGACAAAATGATGATGCATACATGCGGATTTTTAAATGTAGAAAGATGATTAAATCTAACCAAATGTATACCATTCGTACAATGCAAATAAAAGACATCAGTAGAATATAAAATCTGCAGACAACTGGAGTTTCCATAAAATCAATAAAAACGTTAAAACGCGATATATTGTTAGATGTTCCTTTTTAATGTTATATAAGTCAAAGCCGCTACTCTCTGCTCATGAATCTGTCAAGTGGCCTATAAACTAGTAAACTAGAACAATAATATTGTGGTTAGTGTTATTAAATGTCGTTAAGTCATTGGTATAATACTGTCCCGTCTATTCAACGGCCTTAATGTTACTTATTCATTTGTAACAGAGATCATGATATATTTCAATACCTTAACTAAGATTCGAATTCTGGACTTCGGGCTTACTTGTCAAACGCTCAACAGGTTGAGCTAAAGAGGATATCTCCCTATCCAAGGAGTATATTGCGGTGAGCACCTGCATTTTCCAGGGTTACATATTCCCCAACCACCCGTTTGTTAACTGTGAATGAAACAACCTCTGTTGTTGATACTATATAATGTGTAATTAATTTGTCAGATTGGTGTTACTTTTAATAGTAAATATATATTTGACACTTTTTCCATGCCACACACCATCCTATGTTGTTAAATGAGATTTCAACAGAAATTTTCACTTAAAAAATACCCTTTTACACTTCAGTGTAATTTTGTTGTTATATAATTTCGTTATTTGTACGCTTTCCTCTTAAATAGATTAATCTTTTAGTGCATACATCAAGCCTGCCCTACGATGTGACCTCCCGTGTCCATACATATAAAGAACAGTATATATATGTTATTTCAATGCTTAATGTTGGACACAAATTTCTGACCTCTCCTCTTCGATATATATATCTAAAAATGACGAAATTCGAACAAGTTCTGGGCACTATTGGAGAATTTGGACTTTATCAAAAATTTGTTTTTCTGTTACTGTGCTTGGCATATGTAACTGCTGCATTCCATATGTTAATTAGCGTTTTTCTACTTGGCATTCCAAACCACAGGTAAGAAACTTTAATGTTGCTGACCCATCTTGAATACTAAATCAACTGTTTTAAGTTCTTTGATTAAAAATATTCAGAGTAAAAAACTCTATGTAGTGATAAACATATGAAATGTACACTAATACTAACGAAATTCTTTGTCAACTTTGAAAAGCCCCAATTTCGGATTAAGGGTATTAAACAACCATTTCATGATATTCATAAATTCGATTTATTATGTACTACGCATGTAACCGAACAGTTGTTAGACAAATGACGATGTATTGTATAATCACAGCTTTAATGACAATTAAAATATCACAAATTTAAGATCAACAAACCTGTACATCAAGAACGATGTGGGGTTCCTGATCACCAAGTCAGTGGTGATGTGATGTTAAACTTTTGCGATAAGATATGATAGGGGCTAAAAGCATTTCAGAATAGCTATTATCACGAATACAGTTTTATACTTAAAGAAGTATATGTATAATCAATGCTAGTTGGAACTTTGTCACGTGAATCAATCATGTAGTAATTGTATCCTAAAATTAATAATGAAATGAAATTAATTGGTTTTGTCAGTCTTTGTATCAAATGAAAATCTGAATAGATACTATTTATTTATGCGGCAGCCATGTCAGGTTTCAGTGAAATATGGCAATTGAGAGGTCAAAAGATTCAGTAGATAGACTGCTGACGGACGTTTAAACGCTGACCAAAACCCGTAAAGGTTCGGTGATTATGTTTGATGTACAAGAAATGTTATGGTCATGTCTCTAAGATGGAATAGGACAATATCATTACAACTGCGGCGTATGGAGTCTGTATATTGCCGAATGGTATAAGCTAGCATTGCTTCCCACCCCTCATGCAATGCCCACGCCAGTTCATCATACTACGTCCACCAAATTTGTTACACAGCAATCTCCCAAGCGTTCTTGCGACATTGACTTTGTCGCTGCCACCAATTATTGAACATCAAGCAATATCTCTGCTAAGTGGTGAACAAAACATTGTTCCATCGCCGTAAGACCCATCGTCAGTGACACCGATCCCAGTCAAGGCGAGCGCCTAAAGAAGGATCTTCGCACTCATGCAGTGACGTTTCAGCCTGTTACACTTGACGAAGTAAAGTCCTTTCTTTTACGGTTGCATGTAAAATAAAAAATATCGAACATGCTGTAGCAGTATGAGACGGTCTCCACGAGGGATGGCAACCCGTAGTCGACCACTCCTTGGATGGTGGGATGTTGAATCGGTGGCTTGAAAAAGTTGGCATTAATGACAGAGCATATTTTGACTATATCAAAACCGTTTTACAATCTCGCGTTACGTTGCGTTGTCATAGAGTATGCCAATAGCCATTTCCCTCTCTTCTTTAGATGTACTCGTCATTGTGTAAATTTATAAAAACAAATGATGCTTTTTCAAATGATCAAAGGTTTTGATATAGTGAATAATGCGTTTTACAAAAATTCCACTAAACAAATTTCGAATAATGTGATGGGATGTGTTTTGTTTTACGAGACAATTTTTCAATTTCACACATGTCTGTAATAAAAATGTTTGCAGCTAATTCAGAGATTCTAACAAAATAATAAGTAACTAAAATATCTGTATAATAAACCTATGTTTGGTGTACGCCAAGGTAATTTGGTAATTGGTTAATATTTGTTAAGTTAAAACAACAGGTCAAATTCTTTTTAATTCAATAGAAACAATTAAAAAGAGCCAGCATGTGAACAATATCATAATCCAAGTTCAAATTCAACAGAAATAGGACAAATTATGACCAAAAATAAGGTTTACACGGAGACACCTGGAATATGAGAAAAGGTGCTTCGGAAGAGTAAGAGTCTTTTGCTTATCGATGACATCCGTCATGTAAACCTTGTAAACTAAGTTACAAAGTCATTACTCTGCTGAGTGTAATAAATGTTATACAAAATGCTTAAGTTTCTGATATGATACAGCCTCATTTCTCGTTAACTTCCGACGACATGAATTCTTGTTTGGATTGTAATAGTTTGCTGACAAGGCCGATTATTTTCCTATGAAACTTTTATCAGCTCAGATAATTGTGTCAATGACTCGCCTATCTACAAATATGAAGGAAATAGTTTAATACCAAATGAGGAATTAAATAATAATTAGTTACAATTGTAATTTCCTTTTAAGGTCATCACACTCACGTAGAACATTTTCTGCGCAACTGGAAAATAAAATTCTCCTAAAGCTTTCATGAACAATGCATCTTAATATAGGATAAATTAAAAACTCGGGAGCACGTTTGAATATGAAAAGAAAAGATATTGAAGTGCTGACTTTTACATATATATGTAGTTTAGTTGATTGTTTTGTTTTTGCCTAATCCAAAAATGTCGGTTCCTCATACGAAAATCTAATTTAAGTTAATATGATAAAATTCTATGCCTTATTTTTGTCTGTGACCGTTCACTTTCGATATTCAATGCACTGTTCCAATTATCACTATCTGACAAGCCGTCAATTTACGTCCGAAAACACATAGTTTCAAAAGATTGATGAAAATTATGGGGATGATTTACGGTCATTCTAATAATCCCATTGAGAAATAATCTATTTCTTTGTTCGATATGAAGCTGGACGTGTTTGATACTCGTTAGGTTTGCCTGTTTGTTATTGTATGCCTTGTTCTCATTTGAGAACATGACATTACTTGTATTGACCAAGGTTTACATGGCTGGTCTCGCCGATGAAGCAGAACTCGCTCACTCTTTCCGAACACGTGGCCTTATCAACCATGTACTTTGTTCAGGAATTTCCTTGTAAATATGTCTTTTCTTAATATTTTACCTTAGTTTTATTGACTTTGGGTTTGTATTTAGTCAAAATTTTTGAATTTTGAAATTTATTTTTTTTTTCAACCAGTGTTGGCATAACTCACATTTTTCAATTAACAATGGGGTATCTATTCTAAAATGATGTGAAATTTTTGTTTAATGGTCCGGATACAATGCAGTCGATGGTTAATTACTGGTGTTAAACATGTATTACCTTCTTCATAGAAACCATATAATAATTACAAACTAAGATGTTTACATTTAGATCTAAATAATCATCCCTGATGATAAATGCTATTTTTGTATTAGTGAATTGCTGTTTGTTGCTACCGTTGGCGTTATATTATCTACAGATGTGCTATACCAGGATACCCTAACGATACATACGCTATCCAAAGCTCCTATCACGAAGCCTTGGTCAACCGACATGTACCAACATCGACGGACGAAACTCTCAAATACGTCCAGTGTAACCTGTATGACCGTTCGTATGACGGCGACGACAACTCTACTGACCTGAAGGCCTGTTCATCTTGGGTCTACGATAAGAGCGTCTTCATCAACACCTTCACCTCTGAGGTAAGTAATGTTTCTAGAATAATCGATGTTGTAGCAGTCGATGACATACAAAAATGAGATATGATGAGCGTAGAAATCAACGCAATCCTCTCTGGTACAAGACAACAATGTAAATAATGCGGGGTTATGATAAGTTCAGCATTTGGCGAAACAATTTTAATAATGCAGATTTTACCACATTCTAAAAAAACCAATCTTTTCAAAGAAGTAATATCTCATATATATATGTAACTTTAAGTATGAATGACCTACTGATATTTCGTGAAGGGAGATATTATGGACTTTGTTGTCGATTTCTGAGAAAGTCTATCTTCTGTCTATTTTGATACGGCAGGCCTCCAATATTGACGTTTATTTTCACAGATTTCAAATTGTCTGAATTTAATTAAAATGTGCAGTCTTTGTGCTGACTTTATGAAAGAATCTATTTCCTGATCATTTAAAAAAGTTGTTGCAAAAGATATTAGCGGTGGTTTGTGAGAGTCAGCAGGTTGTTTTTTATTTCGACGATGTTTGACAAGTGCTATTTACGTAACGGGCATGCCATGCGTCAAAATTGCGTCATGAAAATTTAATGATTTATTTCAATTAATTGTTATAATCTATCACTTTCAACAATGACAAAAAGACGGTTTGTGTAAGATTTTTGGATGTTTCTAGCATGACATCGTTTGTGAAGACAAGTTTAAGACATCACACGCTCAGACGATTTTCTTCGGTGGTGTGTTTGTAGGGGCTATCGGATTTGGATCACTGTCAGATATGTAAGTAAACATGCATACTGTGAGAGACGAATTCGGCAACTTACGTTAAATAATGAAACATTTGGTGGATATATTAGTATATTTCACACCTTCTCTTGAGGTCTTTATTTAGTGTCCTCCGATGTCGCCTTAATCACGTCAAGGTAATGGTTGTAATGGTTTATTCTCGCGGGAACAACGTCAGGATCAATCTACACCATAAGTTTGATTCTGGTATGACTTGTCAATCCTTCATCAATCCAAACTTTATATAATTTCGGTCGAACGTATTCTTTTTGATTTTCAAATGGGATACAAAATATGACTCTCTCTTGAAAGGCTACAGGCAAAAAACTACTTACCAGCCTTAAAATGGGGCCAGTAGAGCGAAGGAATCACTGAGCTCATTGTAAATGAATTGAAGCTGATTCGAGATTGTAGATGTATCTCTCTCACTAATTCGTGTTGACTTTGAGTTGTAATATAAACCGTTTTTGTAATTATTTTACATAGTGAGGTTGAATATAGTATAATCACGACGACAGGTTACACAAATTAGAAGTGGGAGATTAAGTATGGTCATAATTCCACGTTAAAAGGAAATACAATGATATGAACTATTCCAGCTTATCTATGGTATATGTAATGTCATGTTTATCTCGATCAAATAAAATAGACATAACTACATTGAAGACGTCGCTGACAGAAATATAGACACGTTTTCTACACGTGATTCTAGCTTGATAGATACTCCGTAATACCACATTTACATTACATATACATGTAAATATTTGCTTTGAAATGATAATTTTAAGGAAGACGGAATCCGCCCGGTCGCATAGAATGATAGTTTTACATTTTACTGTCATGTCAGCTTGATGTAATTAATAGTTTTGTTTTTACGATATTATCGCTGAAGTAGTTGATGTGATGCACGTATGACATATGAAATTAGGCAGTGACGCTATCGTGTTGATCTTTGAACATCTTCTCCTTCCGCGGATCACCTTTTTTCCTATTGAACACGTAATGTATATCCGTGACTGTAGAGCAAAGTTACAATAAAAATCCCCGAGGTCGTCCATTCTTAGGAGACACTTTGAAGGGAAAAGCTAATAATGATTTACTGATTCATTAATACGTACCTAAAGAATTAATTGATTGATTCTGATTTAATTGTATTTGCGTTATTGCAAAGAAGGAGCTAATCTTGGTCTTATAAGATTGTATAGTACATTGATAATTTTCATTCATTTCGATAGATCAGCCCAGTTGTTCAAAATTTTCATACGTACTTTCCATTCATGAACAGGACTCCAGCAACATGAATTTAAAAAAACACTTCAAGGTTTAGCGATTATTACTATTTTTCCCTACAGAATCGGACGAAAGAAGACTTTGTATATTTCATTGTTGTTGTTGCTTGGAACGACTTTAGGTGTAGCATGGGCTCCGGATTTCGTCACATTCTGTGTACTACGTTTTTTGGTAGGAGCGTCCTGTGCTGGAATGTTTATGACTGCCTTTGTCATTAGTATGTAAACAATATTGTATACTGATTCCCTGCGTTAATCAATATAATTGTAGCTTTTAAATTTCCTTATGAGCATATATGGCTTTTTAAAAAAAAAATGAAATGTGGATAATAAAACAGGTTAAAATTTCATGTGGTATATATTTTTCACATTGAAAGATCTTATTTTATCTTATTTAAATGCTCTGAGTTGAAATACTGAAATTACTGAATATATACCTTTTAGGTATGGAGATGGTTGGTCCCTCCAAACGTATGTGGGCCGGTATTGTCATTGAGTATTTTTCCGCTTTGGGACTAGTCATCCTTGGAGGGGTGGGCTATGCCTTCAGGCAATGGAAATATACCGAAGTTGCGTGTTCAGCACCAATTGCTTTTTTCCTTTTGTACTGGTGGTAAGTGTAACTGGAGCAAACACTTATTGAGTAAAAGTAATGTTTAAAGAAAGGAATCTCATACTTGATTTTTTATGCCACGGACCGACATTTCAGATTGATAACATCATTCTTTTGTCTTAATGCTCTTGATGCATTTTCCATCTGTTATTTTGTTTCATGTTTTACATTTACTGTCGAGTGTCACTAACTTAGTCACTCGCAAAACATTTCTTCATATTTTTATTTTCTTTAAAAACTGACAAAATAAACTATCCATCACTTCAAGAAAAAAGTAGATATCGAAAATAAATTCCCCCCAACCCCCTATTTAAAACGATTTCTTCTTCTTTTGATCTGTTGGTCATGTTGATATATATGAACATTCCTTGGATTGATCGTCTGTTAATGTTGATCACAAATATGTGAACAACAAATGAAAAAAAAAAAAAAAACCATAAAAAACAAAAAAGAATAAATAAATAAATAGAAATAAACAACGATTTATAGTAAACGACGGACTTTAAATCTTATAAAAATATTTTGTAAATCAAAACTACGGATAGATCAATCATTTCAATAACATCAATGCTGGATTCTGTACACGTGAAATCCTATTGGAGTGCAACTCATAACTTTATAATTAATTCATCGATATCGAGTATCACACAACACGCAATTAATTAAATATGTTGATTCATTTTTGAACACACTTTCCTCCTCATTATTCTTTTAATTGATTGTTCTAACTATTTTTCACTTTTTAGATAGAAATTACTGTGACTTGTACAAATGTCGTTTTTCGTTTGTTTCCTGTTTGACTGTGTCTAAGGTGGAAACTGAAGCATTTTCAGCTAATCTGTGTATTGTGTTTAGGCTTATTCCCGAGTCACCGAGATGGTTGGTCAGTCAAAGTAAAATCGATGAGGCCAACAAGATCATCAAGAAGGCGGCTAAAGTCAACAAGGTGACAATCCCAGAGAATATACTGACAGCCGACTCTAATGACGAAGCGGAAGCTGGTCGTCTCTGGCACCTGTTTACGTCACGTGTCCTCCTCATCAGGACGCTCATCATATTCTTCAATTGGTAATTGTTTAGTTCGTTTTGAATTTTCTATGGTCTTTCTATTTGTTCAAGCAGGTGTTTGGTTCTAGTATATCAACTATCATTACTGTAGCACATTTGGCAGAGTAGAAATATAGACATAACTTGTTTGTGAGACTCAGCTAATTGTCAATGATCAACTTGAAATCGATGGTAAACATGAGGATAACAAAGGTTACTTTTTGTCGTTATTGTGATCTGTTCAAGGGCTGTGGTGAGCATGGTTTACTATGGGTTCTCTTTAAATACCGGGAATCTCGGAGGCGACTTCTACTTGAACTTCCTGTTGTCCGGTCTGGTCGAGTTTCCCGCCTATACGCTATGCCTTTTGCTCCTTGACCGGGTTGGTAGACGACTTTTACATGCTTCCTGCATGATTGTTGGTGGTGTGGCGTGTATTATTACCCTTTTCCCTATGATATTCGCCGATCAAAGTAAGTTAGCTTTGTTTATGGTTATTATAAGGGAAAGTGCAATGTACAAATCCCAAAATGTTTATCAAGGCAAGTAAATGCAACACCTGGCCATGACGTTCGTCCGTGAATAAGTATTTTCACATGTAATTGTACGCCAATTAATATATAGCTGATTCTGATTCTTTATCCAGATGACTATGTCATTTAAGTGTACTGTACTCATGTCATTCGTTTGGTTAAACATCCTGCACCTGTTTATTTTCAGCATTTACAAATGCCATTATAATTAATAGTATCACTTAATCAGACCTTACAAATACACAGGTATTCATCATTACTGTAACAGAATAAAAAAATATTATCATTTATATAAGAGTTCTCAGAAAGATGTCAGTGGACTGTATCTAAGTGACAAAAATGTCTTCATCACTCACCATTTAAGGTCTCCAGCCAATAACGGTTACCCTGGCTATGTTGGGCAAGGTTGGTGTGACCGCTGCCTACGCAGTGATATATGTATGGTCAGCTGAGTTATATCCTACAGTTGTCAGAACTGTTGGCATGGGCGCCAGCTCCTCGTGCGCTCGTATAGGAGGCATGATTTCACCGTACATTGCCGACCTGGTATGTATTGAGATAAGTATCTTCCTATTAAAAACGGTATCATGAAGTACCGATTAACTATGATATCACCTATTCCTATACTAACACATCTGTAAATATTGATTAAACTTACCGATTGTGGTATAAGTTTTTTTTAATTTGTTTTTAAAATACGAATGGGACGGAAGAAGGTGGTTTATCAAATTATCAAAAAAACTTCAAACAGTAGCGTTGTTAATTGATAAATTTTCATACTGTTTACAATCAGTTAGATGATGGTACCGGTACCATAAGAACATTCCTGGCATTCATTATTACTTGTTTCTTTTAACAAAACGGTATTTCAACATTTCATTTTAAAAAACTTCATGGAAATAAACACAGAATAATGTGTTGATGTGAGAAATAACATAGTACTAGTATATCACATGAAATACAAGCCTTACAAAAGATGCTTTTGATATTATATCAATTTGAGAATATCACACGTTTTGTAATCCTTTATAATCAATGTATAACACCAATACAAGGTTGTACTGGTTTTTTTTAACAAATGCGTATTTTTTAACAAGAAAATCTAATAAATGACTACCTTTTCGTAGAACAAGGTGATTGACGGTAACCTAGGACGTGCAGTGCCTCTGGTCGTGTTCGGCACGATGTCGGTCGGTGCTGGGATTCTGTCACTTTGGTTACCAGAAACTAACAAAAGGGATCTTCCTGAAACTCTAGAGGATAGCAAAAGATTCGGTCAAAAAGAGTAAGTATTAAATATTTCTAGCAAGATAAGTTTGGTTTCATTGTCGGCAAACAGTGCAGGAAAGAAAACAAAGAAGATAATTATGCAATGAGAAGTTAATAACAGTAGTGGAAATGGAAGCAAATAGTTGTAAAATTGGCCAAGACAAATCAGGGGATATAACTTCCTTCTTTTTCAATTGCTTGATATATGTTTCATTGGAATGATGACAATAAAAAGTATGCACAATTGGTATGATTGTCTGAATGTAACTATCCTTGCAGGTCGTCAGAAAATTACGAGCCAAAGCTTAGTTTTGACAACAAAGGTTTTGATTCCGAACAAGGCATCACTAACAGGATAACGGAAGACTACACAGGCATAAAACTATGAAGAAATATCTGAACGTTTAACATCCAGTTGGGTTAGTCAAATAATCTAGGAATTATATACAGAAATGGAAACTATCCAAATGTGTTTTATCCCTTCTCTTGAACTTAACATTTTATTTTGAGGCTGAATATTAGGTACTGTTAGAGTTTCTGTGACTTGTAGTCGTTGCTGAATTCTGTTTATTAAGATAGGATTAGTGCAGATACTCTTTCCCTTTGACCAACGAAACGTGATTTAGATAAAGTTAAACTTGAGGGGTAAAACACACATGAAAATTGAAAAATTAGAAGACAAACGTAATTGATTAAAATTCTCTTGTACATCTTGTTATTCTTATATTTAGCCATAGGAGAATATGACAAAACTACACTAATTTTCATTAGATACATGTAATTGGGGCTTTCAGAGCTCAGACATGCATACGTTGGAGAGAAATGGCCAGGTTGACATCGTCTTGACTTGAAAAATAAATCAATCCTAAAAGCATTGAAAAGACATATAAATCTGACTTGTACTGTATTATAATTAACATATAAGCGATTTCTGTCGAAGCATCATGGGATATAAAGATAATAAAGATAAACTGATACGTGATAAGTAATTTCATGTGTGACTTTGAGCGGCTGGCTATAACTAACCAGGTAAGTAGGATGGCAACACATTATCTTATATAAATTATTGTCCAAAAAGTCAAAAGGTTTATAAAAAAGGAAATTATTATCACCAGTTAAATCTATATAAGTATTAGTAGACCCAACAACAGCATTCATTGCAGACAATAGTACAATATCATATTACTTTAAGGAGCTGTAGACCTCACAATAAACAAAGACAGACAGACGGACGCCCACTGGAGGGACGCTGATGTTGCTCCATAATACGTCCGTCGAAATTCGACTGTACAAACCACCAATGAAAAAAACATTAATGAAAAAACTACAATATTATGCAAATATATAATAGCATACAGCACAACAATTATGTCCTGGTGTGTTTGCGTACCAGTCTGAACACCGCGTTGGACTGCCCGTGACAAAATGATGATGCATACATGCGGATTTTTAAATGTAGAAAGATGACTAAATCTAACCGAATGTATACCATTCGTACAATGCAAATAAAAGACATCAGTAGAATATAAATCTGCAGACAGCTGCAGTTTCCATAAAATTAATAAAAACGTTAAAACACGATATATTGTTAGATGTTCCTTTTTAATGTTATATAAGTCAAAGCCGCTACTCTCTGCTAATGAGTCTGTCAAGTGGCCAATAAACTAGTTAACTAGAACAATAATATTGTGGTTGGTGTTATTAAATGTCGTTAAGTCATTGGTATAATACTGTCCCGTCTATTCAACGGCCTTAATGTTACTTATTCATGATATATTTCAATACCTTAACTAAGAGTCGAATTCTGGACTTCGGGCTTACTTGTCAAACGCTCAACAGGTTGAGCAAAAGAGGATATCTCCATATCCAAGGGGTATATTGCGGTGAGCACATGTATTTTCCATGGTTACATATTCCCCAACCACCCGTTTGTTAACTGTGAATGAAACAACCTCTGTTGTTGATACTATATAATGTGTTATTAATTTGACAGATTGGTGTTACTTTTAATAGTAAATATATGTTTGACACTTTTTCCATGCCACACACCATCCTATGTTGTTAAATGATTTGTACGCTTTCCTTTTAAATAGATTAATCTTTTAGTGCATACATCAAGCCTGCCCTACGAGGTGACCTCCCGTGTCCATACATACAAAGACCAGTATATATATATGTTATTTCAATGCTTAATGTTGGACACAGATTTCTGACTTCTCTTCCTCTTCGATATATATATCTAAAAATGACAAAATTCGAACAAGTTCTGGGCACTATTGGAGAATTTGGACTTTATCAAAAAGGTGTTTTTCTGTTGCTGTGCTTGACATATGTAATTGCTGATTTCCATTTGCTAATTAGCGTTTTTCTACTTGGCACTCCAAATCACAGGTAAGAAACTTTAATGTTGCAGACCCATCTTGAATTCTAAATCAACTGTTTTAAGTTGTTACAAATATATTTGATTAAAAATATTCAGAGAAAAAACTCTATCTAGTGATAAACATATGAAATGTACAGTAATACATACAAAATTCTTTGTCAATTTCGAAAAGCCCCAATTTCGGATTAAGGGTCTTAAACAATCATTTCATGATATTCATCAATTCGATTTATTATGTATTACGCTTGTAACCGAACACTTGTTAGACAAATGCCGATGTATTGTATAATCACAGCTTTGATGGCAATTTAAATATTACGAATTTAAGATCAACAAACCTATACATGTTAAACTTTTGCGATAAGATATGATATGGGCTAAATGCATTTCAGAATAGATATTATCACGAATACAGTTTTATACTTAAAAAACTATATGTATATTCAAGGCTTGTTGGAACTTTGTCAAGTGAATCAATCATGTAGTAATTGTATCCTAAAATTAATAATGAAAAATGAAATTAATTGGTTTTGTCAGTCTTTGTATCAAATGAAAAACTGAATAGATACTATTTATTTATGCGGCAGCCATGTCCGGTTTCAGTGAAATATGGTAATTGAGAGGTCAAAAGATTCAGTAGATAGACTGCTGATGGACGTTTAAACGCTTACTAAAACCCGTAAAGGTTCGGTGATTATCTTTGATGTACAATAAATATCATGGTCATGTCTCTAAGATGGAATAGGACAATATCATTACAACTGCGGCGTATGGAGTCTGTATATTGCCGAATGGTATAAGCTAGAATTGCTTCCCACCCCTCATGCAATGCCCACGCCAGTTCATCATACTACGTCCACCAAATTTGTTACGCTGGGTTACACAGCAATCTCCCAAGCGTTCTTGCGACATAGACTTTGTCGCTGCCACCAATTATTGAACATCAAGCAATATCTCTGCTAAGTGGTGAACAAAATATTGTTCTATCGCCGTAAGACCCATCGTCAGTGACACCGATCCCAGTCAAGGCGATTGCCTAAAGAAGGATCTCGTGTAAGTCTTCGCACTCGTGCAGTGACGTTTCAGCCTGTTACACATGGCGAAGTAAAGTCCTTTCTTTTACGGTTGCAGGTAAAATAAAAAAAATATCGAACATACTGCAGCAGTATGAGACGGTCTCCACGAGAGATGGTAACCCGTAGTCGACCGCTCCTTGGATGGTGGGATGTTGAATCGGTGGCTTGAAAAAGTTGGCATTAATGACAGAGCATATTTTTACTATGCCCAAACCGTTTTACAATCTCGCGTTACGTTGCGTTGTCATAGAGTATGCCAATAGCCATTTCCCTCTCTTCTTTAGATGTACTCGTCATTGCCTTAATTTATAAAAACCATAATTTAAAAAAATCAAGTGATTAAAGGTTTTGATATAGTGAATGATGCGTTTTACAAAATTCCGCTAAACAAATCTCGAGTAATGTGATGGGATGTTTTTTTTACGAGACAATTTTTCAATTTCACACATGGTTGTAATAAAAATGTTTGCAACTAATTCAGAGATTCTAACAAAATACATAAGTAACTAAAATATCTGTATAATAAACCTATGTTTGGTGTACGCCAAGGTAACTTGATAATTGTTTAATATTTGTTAAGTTAAAACAACAGGTCAAATTCTTTTTAATTCAATAGAAACAATTAAAAAGAGCCAGCATGTGAACAATATCATAATCCAAGTTCAAATTCAATAGAAATAGGACAAATTATGACCAAAAATAAGGTTTACACGGAGACACCTGGAATATGAGAAAAGGTGCTTCGGAAGAGTAAGAGTCTTTTGCTTATCGATGACATCCGTCATGTAAACCTTGTAAACTAAGTTACAAAGTCATTACTCTGCTGAGTGTCCTAAAAGTTATACAAAAATGCTTAAGTTTCTGATATGATACAGCCTCATTTCTCGTTAACTTCCGACGACATGAATTTTTGTTTGGATTGTAATAGTTTGCTGACAAGGCCGATTATTTTCCTATGAAACTTTTATCAGCTCAGATAATTGTGTCAGTAACTCGCCTATCTATAAATATGAAGGAAATAGTTTGATACCAAATGAGGAATTAAATAATAATTAGTTATAATTGTAATTTGCTTTTAAGGTCATCACACTCACGTAGAACATTTTCTGCGCAACTGGATAATAAAATTCTCCTAAAGCTTTCATGAACAATGCATCTTAATATAGGATAAATTAAAAACTCGGGAGCACGTTTGAATATGAAAAGAAAAGATATTGAAGTGCTGACTTTTACATATATATGTAGTTTAGTTGACTGTTTGTTTTTGCCTAATCCAAAAATGTCGGTTCCTTATACGAAAATCTAATTTAAAGGCACAGTCCCACTTCTCGACCGATATTATTTTATATCAAAACAAAAATCATGAATTTCTATTTTTCTCGGGTAGCAAATTATGACTAATTCTTTAATACCGCAATTTTAATGTAAATTGCTACCAATCTAACGCAATAAATAGTTTGAAAAAAGAATTAAAAACGACACAGCGCTAATTCATAATTATGCGGGAAGTCCTGCCCTCTGACGCATGCGCAAAGAACTGTAAACAAATATGCCGTCTTCCAACATGGCAGAAAGCGCGCGATGGAAGCGGGGAAGAAAACGTGTTTTGACGGACTCAGAGGCGAAAAGAAGGAAGATGACGCGAGACCGTGATATATCAAAGGCAAGGATTTATATTGGCGAGCATACGGAAAGATGGAATGCTGTGAAGACCGAACTGAATTTAAAAACAAATTACGAAGTAGATCTAGCGGGTATTTTGCTCGACAGGTAAGAACTCAATCCACAAATATAAAAATACGGGACAATTAAAGCTTGAATATGTATGTTTGGTTATTTTGTGCATGTGATTAAAGTATGTTTGTTGGTTTTCGTGACAAATGATGACCTGACAGCTAAAGAAACTCAGACAAATACGGTGTTCTGCATGCAGCTAACGGCGATCAAAATTTCGGGGGCCCCTTGAGGGAAAATTATAACCAAAGTTTTGGAATATGTAGTCTTGATCAAAATACCTTGAAATATCCTTAATTTCTCATTGTTATGATGTCTCCAATTCAGAAACAAAATCTGGTATCGTTTTTCAGCGCAAATTTATCCTATAAGCATGTGCATCATTTTTAATGCAACAGATAATATAGATACAGGTGTGATCAAAGTTAGCCTGAACTGACAAACTGTGAACACTCAACAGTCGAACGATTTGATGAATTAGCTAGGTGAACAAAATTGAT